AGGCCTTTATTTATTGTATTTTTTTATGTATTTTATATTTATGTGATGACAAAATTGTCTCTTAGATTGTAAGCTCCAAGGAGCAGGGCCCTCCTGATCCTTTTGTATTGAACTGTATTGTTGCTGTATTGTCACCCCTTATATTGTAAAGTGCTGAGCAAACTGTTGGTGCTATATAAATCCTGTATAATAATAATAATAATAATAAAAAAAATAGTTTTATTTTTGATAGCATTGTCTTCTAAGCAAGCATACAGAGAAGCCATTAGCCTTGCTTTGTTAATATTCCAGGCAGTTTTGTGTTATCGATGAATCTGAATATTGGCATATGTAATGACACGAGTTGCAGAAGGCAGTGGTTGGGGATTCCACATAATGCTAGCTAGCTTTCTGCTAGCAATTAAAAGAGAAGTATGGGAATTCCAAAATCATACTTGCCTAGGCGGATGCCAGGCAAAGGGTGGGAATGCCAGTTCAAAGGGTGGGAATTGAGTGATCACATGACTTCTAATTGCTCCACTCTCTCCCCCGCTCTTAGCAGACTGTCAGTCACCGCTCTCTGCTCCGACCCTCTCCCCCCCACACTCACTGGGCAATCACTGGCCAGCTCACTGAGAAGCTGAGCCAGGTGCTGGTCTAGGGATCTGGGTGAAATCTTTCCTCATCCTGGACCGGCTCTGTGATGTCAGTAGGGTTTCCACCTCCTCCCTTTAATCAAACACATATTAATTACACAGGTTTTGAGGCTAATTTAATGCAGATAAGGCACTAAGTGAATTTAATTACCACCTTAATCAGCCACAGAACCTGTGTAATTAATATGTGTTCAGTTTTAAAGGGATGTGGCAACCCTAGATGTCAGCCAACAGCAGACTTTAGCCCCCTGTCAGTTGAAAACAGGTCACAGGGGTGCAGTTTGTTCTGCTTTTGGCTGTACTTCTCCTTTAAATGCTTATGTCAGTTAGTAAAGGTGAGTTTAGTCTACATGTATTACATTTGTACTGCTAATATAAGTCATGGTTGTATTTGATGTATATGGACTATGATATATGAAGGTCATACCACTACGTGATGCAAACAATTACAGAAGCATGTATTTTTGGAAATGCTGCTGTTAAAAGCATCTCAACAGCCGTATCCAAAAATAACTTTAATATGAGAGGTTTTACCGCATTCTGGTTCCACCTTGTAAATGTCTCCAGTGGCTAACCAGCATTTAGCAGTATTGCACACCGGGGAGTATAATTGGCTTGAAGTAAAGGGGAAAATAAACATAGTTTCCTCCTGAAAGCGTGCAGTCCTCCCAACATGTAGTTTGTGGTGACACTATGGCATCCTTTCCTGAAGGCTGAGCGAGCTTAGTGGCACAGAGAAGGCTTACAAAGCATACATACAGGAATGCATCAGCAGTTTCTGACCACATGTTTAGTCCATGATGTCAAAAGCCTCAATGTAACTGAGGAACAAATTACAGGAATAAAACAAGTCACTAAAGAGAAATGATTACTTTTTGTGTGTTAATACATCACACACCAAATTATTTCTCAAACAGAAACTGGTTGGTAGTTAATGTATATCTAAAGGAAAAACATTTATTTAATTCTGGATAGAGGGGTGTCAAACTGGCAGCGAGTAAGGGAGGGTTAAACCTGCTGTCATTTGTTTTCTGCTGTATGCCTGTCTGCTGCTCATTAGGGAGATTTTCCTTTACTTCCTGTCATGTAGACAGATAATCTAAGATGAATCTTATTTTATTTTCGTATCTCTTAGATAGGTTCTGGGGCTAATTTAATGCCTCAGATAGCAACAAAAATCTTGACACTATCCAAAACTGAATACAAACATGTTACTTTTAGTTATACTCTAAATGCCTTTGGCACCCCTCTCCAGTAAGCCAGTTACGGCAGAAAACAGTGCTGCTGTCCATATGACAGTCTGAGACAACAAAGTACAAAGCAGCAGAAAATATTTTGGGCCTAATATGTTACTAAACCCCCTGCATTCACTATATCTGGTCCCTCACAGTACACAGAACATGGAAATGCAATTATTTTAGTAAATATAAACTGCTAAATACCTTTTCTTATTAGCAGTACATAGCAGTCTTGTGACTCTTATCAGTGTCCAGCCAAGCACTTGTAGCTCTTGTACGAGGAGTTTTCATTCTCTTCTGACTGTCCTATGAGGCTGCATGACCCCTGACCTTTTGTCCAGACAGTGCTAATTGGCCCTGTGCTGATCATATGCACCATCCCATAAAGAGAAAAAAAAACCCTCTAGCAATATACACCAAACAGAGCATGTGCAGACCTGCCACTGTGCTCTGTCCATAGGCAAATGGATTGGGAACAGTAGAAGAAGAGAGAGAATCAGAGAAGACAGGATCAAATAGCCTTTTTACACAATGCAGAGGATTAACCCCTTAGGTTCCACAGTGAGTATAACAAGCACACTTTACTGCATATACCGACTGATTTTATTGTTTTGGGTTTAGTAACACTTTAAACATTGTGTCATTCCTAAAAAATGAATACATCAGAATAGCATGATACTCAGAGATACAGCTAAGATATGTGTAGCTGGTGTACTCATTTTTCTAATCATGGTAGACAGTCAGCAGCAAATCCAACCTGGGCAGATGGTAATAAGAGTTCATGAGCAATGGTGATATGGGCCCTTTAGTATTCCAATGGTGAAACTGATTTTTTACAGAAAAATCTTATTTAGGATTTGTCACTTCGGAGTTTAGTATTATGGGCATGTATGCTTGCTTTGATAATTACTAATAGGAATCAAGACAGAAAATGCAAAAACGTATAGTAAGCCATCAGCAACAGACTTTCAGTGTCTGGAGCAGGTGACAATATCAAATCTGTCATGTAGCTGCAGGTACTTGTCAGTGATACGATATAAACTGGATGTCTGTATGCACCACAGCACCCCTATCCTTTATCAATAACATAAATCATCTTTACTGCACCAATGCCACACAAAAGCCTGATGAGGTATGTCAAGGTGTTGTCAGGCATATTGTAACTGGGCTTTTTTGTGGCATTGGTGCAGTAAATACATATTTCTGGCAACTCGACCATACAGCTCATTTTTGTTCAAGTATTATCATATTTTGCTCCTTTAAAAAAAAAATCTTTTTTTCCAGAGCAACCTGCATTTCTCATGAGGTTACCTGTGGGTTTTTCTTTGTATTCAGAACAATTCTTCTGGCAGTTGTGGCTGCAATATTTCTTGGTCTACCTGACCTTAACTTGGTATCAAGAGATCCCTGAACTTCCCACTTCTTAACACATAATTGAATAGTACTGACTGGCTTATTCAAGGCTTTGGATATCTTTTTACATACTTTTCCATCTTTATAAAGTTCCATTACCTTGTTACTCAGGTCTTTTATCAGTTTTTTTTCGGCTCCCCATGGCTAAGTATCTAGCCTTCTCAGTGCATCCACGTGAGATCTAACAAACTCAATATACACAGACACTAATTGCAATTTAAAAAGTCACAGATGTGGGAAATGAACCATTAATTGTTATTTTAACCTGTGTGTGTCAAACTGTGTGTCTGTACCAAGGACAAACATTCCAGGGTATGTAAACTTTTTTTATCAGGGCTAGTTGGGTGATTTCTGTTATCACTGTCATGTAAAAAGGAGCCAAACAACTATGTGATAATAAATGGCTTCATATGATCACTATTCTCAATATAAATTTCACGCTTTCTGCCAGGGTATGCAAATTTTTTAGCACAACTGTATATAACTGATATAACTAAAGGATTGTTGAGTAAGGTATGTCTTTTTGCTGATGATAAAAAGGTGAGCAATGGGATTGATATCCCCAGAAGTGTCTGTAACATGGAACATGTTTTGGCATTGCATTATGCATCTAGGGAACAATAATCCCTTAGCAGAGTATGACATTGGTTGACCAGAGGAGAAAGACTTAGGAGTACTTATTTCAGATGATTTCAAATAAGCTAACACTTTGGCCAGGCAGTGCGAAAAGTGAATAAAATTCAAGGATGCATTAATTGAGGGGTCACCATCAGGAGGAAGGATGTCCCGATTGCCCTGTATAGATCTTTTGTTACACCTAATTTAGAATACTGCATCCAGTTCTGGTGACCTCACTTACAAAAAAGATATTGATATGATAAAACAAGTCCAGAAACAGGTAACAAAAATGGTGAAAGGTCAGGGAGATAAAATATATCAAGAGTGACTTCAGGAACTAAATATGTACAGTCTGGAGGAAAGAAGGGAAAGGGGAGACATGATTGAAACCTTTAAATACACCATGGGAGTGAATAAGGTTCAAGAGGGCAGTGTTTTCAATATGAAACCAAGATCAAGACCACGGGGACATGACTTCAAACTAACTGGAGGAAAGTTCAAAACTAATTGCAGAAAGTATTATTGCACTGAAAGAGTATTTGATGCTTGGACTAAACTTCCAGCGGAGGTAGTGAGTCAGTCTACAGTAGGTGGTTTCAAACATGCTTGGGACAAACTTAGATATACAGTATATTAAAAAAAAAAAAAAAAGAGTATAAATAAAAAAAAAAAGAAAAGCAGATTTGATGGACCACTAGGTCTTTCTTCTGCTGTCCCTTTTCTACATTTCTTGCTTGAGTGAATTTCTAAGAGTGGGCAGTTTTGGGATTTATAAGGAAGACAAACTCTTAATACCAGTAATGCATTTAGCCATTAACATTTCACCATAGCACAAGATACTATAGTGGACCTCAAGCCTGAGTCTATACCATTAAATTAAATTATGTATAAAAAGCTTAAATTATGTATACAAACCTAGATTTGACTGCCCTCCTATATTTCAAAATAATGAAAGAAGGATTGTGTATGGATAACGCAAGATATTGCTTTTTATAACACATAATACTATTGTTTATCCTAATTTTGGTTTCTGTAACACATTGTTGGGTCCTACTTACCCCAAACCAATACTGAACAATACAGCCAGTCAACCTACCCTCACATGTCTTTCATAGTGGTTGCTGTCATCATCAAATTCAATCACAAAGCCATTTAGAAACCAGATAAAAGTGAGGTCCAGAGCAGGATCATGAGATGCATGGCACTGCATGGATGCATTCTCCCCAACAGTCACATCAGCATTGGATGGTGCAAGAGTGATCTTTGTGGCGGCTGGGAGGATATAAAACACAAACAGAATAATCAAAACCATACAGTCATACAATATAATAATGATAGTCATTGAGTTGAGAAAGTTACCAATGAAATCCATATCTGTGTCGATACACAGATAAGATAAATGTATAATATCAATGAAAGGCACAGAAGCATGGCTAAACATTTCTAGGGCCTGGTGCTGAACCTAAAATACATCTATCACAAAAAAAGTCTGTCTGCCATAAATGCACAAACTAACTTGACAACTCTAAAACCAACTCTATTTTAGTTTACGGTCTCATCTTCCTAAAATGTGTTCTCTTTCCTATTCTTTAGTGTTTATTGGGGGTAGTAATGGCTTTTCCTGGACTTTTCCACAGTCTTTCCCCAGATGACTTCTTTTTTAGTTAGTAGTAGAGCACGACTGTCAGTACACACATTGGCTCTCCTGATCATGAGTGCCATAATACTGTAGTTCACCTCATAGAAGAACAACAGCAATACCTTTTCTCTACAGCATGTAAATATGCTCCTTATGTCTACAAGAAACAGACTAAATCAGCTTGCTTCTGTTTGAAGAAAAAATGTTAAAATGAAATACAAGACACCATTTGGTAGAGTGGAAGAACTTTTCATACCCTGCAGCATATACCCCTAAGATGATTTACAATTTATGTAAAAATGTGCAGACTATTAATGGTTCTTGCAATTGTCAGTTGTCACTTCCTCTCCTAGACGTTATGGAATGATCCTCAAAAACTGGAGCAAATGTCAAGCTGCTGGCCACAGCAAAAAAAGATTGGTTTTAAGCCAAGATTCTGACTGGTTGCTATTGTTACCTGCTCTTCTGTTTAGCTTTATTTCCTTAAGTTTTTGTAAATCAGTCCTAAAGGATGTGTATAGGTAATTATATTCATTGTCAATGTACAGTACACTTGAGGAAGTTTTTAAACAACCCTGGATCAACCAGGATAAACAATCACAATCAATAAGGATGATGTCCCCCATGTCTATAATCAATATTACTGTTCTCTCTGCAGAGTGGGAATTGAGCTTTCTATATGGCAACTCTCCAACAGGAGAGCTAGCCACCCAAGTATGCAGTCACAGATCTGTTTTAATAATATGTCCTGTCCTCCTAGTACTTGACTACCAAAATCTCTAATTGGCCCCCTAAACTCTCTAGGGGCTTCTGGCATTGTTGAAGCTATTTGCAATACTTGATGATACACTTGTGGAAAAACTGCATTTATCTATATATATTGAATAAATGCAAATAAATGGCCCATACAGGGTTGTTTCCACTGTTACCAGGGGCGGACTGACCATTTGGAAACTCAGGCACTGCCCGAGAGCCTGGGGCCAGTAGGGGGCCCCGTGAGATGCCCCTGGTACCTTTTTCATAGGCTTTTTTGAGTTTGGGCAAGGACACAGGGGCCCCATGATCCCCTATTGCCCAGGGGCCCCATGAGTTGTCAGTCCGCCCCTGACTGTTACCTACCCACAGTTCAGCAACACTAAGACCTGGTGAAATACATCCTCCCTATGTGTATTGCATGGGCATCGCTAGCTCTGGGCAACGAGGGCACGTGCCCCACATCTCATCTTATTTAATACACACTTCCCTGTCATACCTCAGATACAGTACAGAGACCTCAGCTACAATGTGCAGTGTCACATGACACAAGCAATAGGAGTACTTCTCCCCACTAATAACTGCAGTGATATAAGGGCTATTAAGTGGACTGTAGGGGGGGGGGGTAGATCACTGTAGTGGGGGGGATATGAGGTGAGGGAGAGCTCTGTACTGGATGAAATTATTTGGAGGGAGACTGAGATCTGTACTGGGGGGATTTGAGAGGGAGAGAGATCTGTACTGGATGGATTGGAGTAGGTGTGGGCAAAGATCTGTACTGGAGAGAGAGAGAGAGCAATGTACTAGGGGACTGAGGAAGAAGAGAGATCTGTACTGGATGGAATGGAGTAGGTGTGGGAGAATATCTGTACTGGGGAAAGAGAGAGCAATGTACTAGGGGACTGAGGAGGAAGAGAAATCTGTACTGGATGGATTAGAGTAGGTGTGGGGAAAGATCTGTACTGGGGAGAGAGAGATCAATGTACTGGGGGACTGGGGAGGAAGAGAGATCTGTACTGGGAGGAATTAGAAGGGAGCGGGGTTTCAGAGGGGGTGGGGTGATAGAGATCTATACTGGGGTATTGGGGGGAAGGAGATCTGTACTAGTGAGGGGGAGACTAATCTGTACTTGGGGCATTTGAAGGTGGAGAGATCTTTACTGGGAGATTTGCGGGGGTAGAGATCTGTACTGGGGGGATTTTGGTGGAGGAAGAGAGAGATCCGTATGGGAGGATTTGGAGGGGGGAGAGAGATCTGTACTGGGGGATTTGGAGGGTGGGAAAGGGATTGATACTGAGGAGATTTGGGGAAATGAGATCCATATTGAAGGGATTTGGGGGTAGAGAGAGATCTGTACTAGGGGGAGGGGGGAACTGTACTGGGAAAATTTGTTGTTGGGAGAAAAAGATCTTTACCGGACAGATCTGAGGGGAGAGGTATATGTACTGGGGGATTTGGAGGGGACAGAAAGTTCTGTACTGGGGGCATTTTGGGGGAGAGATGTGTACTGGGCATATTTTGGTGCAGAGAGAGATATGTACCGGGGTGATTTGAAAAGATCTGTACTGAAGGGATTGTGGAGGGCTGTACTGGGAGGAAATGGGGGGGGGGGGGGGGGGCAGGAATTGCACAGGGATAAAGAGGCAATTTTTCTGGTTGTATTTCTGGCTTTTTTGTTACATGTTATGCACCCCTGATGCCTGCACTCTCTGCTGTAAGTATTCCGGACCCCTTCACTCTGTGTTATGCACTCCTGATCTATGAGCTCTGTGTGTGTTATGTACTCCTGAGCCCTGTGTCCTTTGCGTTACCTACTCCTGACCCCTGTGCACTCCTTACCCCATACTCTGTGCATTATGCACCTTTTATTCCCGTGCTCTGTTTGTTAGACACTCCTGACCCTTGAGCTCTCTTCTTTAAAACACTACTGACCCTCGCTCTATGTGTCTTACTGACTCCTATCCTCCGTGCGTTATGCACATTCCAGACCCTTGAGCTCTTTCCATTGTAAACTCCTGCACTCTTTAAGTTACACACGTCTGACTCCTGCACTCTGCCATGGTACAGACAAGCCAGCTGTGTGTCTTGGCCCTAGAACCATGGTGTGGGCTTATCCAGGGCAAACTGGGTCCCATACTCGTGGTACCCCAGGGGAACACAGATGGCACAATTGTTGAGAACCACTGCTTTAATCACTTGATCCCTGCTAACAAATCATGAATTCATACCTCCACCACTTATAAGAAGCAAACCTAACTGCATTCACAAAGTATGTCTAGAAAAAATTAAGAATATGTTAGTGTTATATAAATAATAAGTAGTAGTAGTAGCTGTAGCAGTAGTGGAAGCAACAGTAGTAGTGATAGCAATAAATAATAACAATAAAATGTATTACCCGTAACAGACAGCATTCCGGTATTATTAGCTTTTCCTCTATCATTCTCCGCAAAGCAAGTATAGCTTCCCTCATCAAGAATTGTTACATTAATGATTTCCAGACTGCCATCATCCCAGATTGATATCCTAATAAACAATGCAGTAACAAGTCATGCTAAAAAAGCACACCTCTACAGTGGTATCATAGTGAATTATATGAGTGGTATACGACTTCAAACCAAACTGACACTTATACAGGCAAGGCAATAATGCAACAAATGACTATGAGACAATCATAAAAGGGCAAGGCTGGAGTGATGAATTACTGCAGGTAAATTGGAGGGAGAGAAAAGCAGAAGCAATGCAAAGATTAGGGTTTAGTGGTGTGCTACCTTTTATAGCTTTAAATCGTTGGTTGAGTCTGACTTAAAGAGAAAGCTTTAAAAAGCAAAGGACCTGAGAAAAATTATACTGCAGTGAATGGCTTGCATCACAAATGTCTGTGGCAAAAGACCTTTGACCACTTGTCCTCCAGAGGATTTACCCCCCTTCCTGACCAGGCCATTTTTTGCGTTACGGCACTGCGTTACTTTAACTGACAATTGCGTGGTCATGCTACGCTGCACCCAAATTAAATTTAAGTTCTTTTTTTCCCACAAATAGAACTTTCGTTCAGTGGTATTTGATTGCCTGTGCGATTTAAATTTTTTGCGGTATAAAAAAAAAAGACTGACAATGTTGAGAAAAAAACTATATTTTTTACTTTTTTCTATTAAACATGTCAAGTAAAAAATGTATTCTGTGACATGTCTTTGCTAACAAAAATCCCAATACGTGTAAATTAATTAGTTTACGTAAAAGTTATAGTGTTTACAAATGGCAGTATATATACTGGGATTTTTATTTTTTTTTACTAGTAATGGCGGTGATCAATGACTTATTGTGGGACTGCGGTGGGCATTCTGACAATGGGGGGGAACTGACTTTGTGTCACTGACATCCCCAGTAACACCAATACAGTGATCAGTGCTATTAAAAAGCACTGACACTGTACTAATGGCACTGAGAAGGAAGGGGTTAACATGTGGGGTGATCAAAGGGTTAACTGTGTGCTGTTTTACTTTGAGCTGTGTCTGTGTGCTTCACTGTAAATCCACTGCTTTGCATGGCTGTGTTGTGCACAGCCATTCAAAGCAGTGTGCATGAGCTGACAGGGAGGAGAACTGTTTTGTTTACAAACAGTTCTCCACCCTGTCGGAGATGCTTGGCAATCACCGGGCGCCGGCAGTGATTTACAACCGCGGACAAATTTTCCCTCCCCGGAAATGCAAACTTACGTGTATAGGGCGGACGGGAAGCGGTTAAAGCACATCTAAGCCCAAAAATGTGGTATAATGCAGCTTTCCAGTCCGTAGATGAGCTTGCTAAATTCATTTTCTTTTTTCATTCTTTTATTCCCTTTAATTTCACCTGGTAGTCCTGCAAATGACACCTCCCTGGGTGACTACACTTACTCCTCCATTGTACCATTGTAAGAAAGGAGCCATGGTAGTCACCCAGGCTGGACATGGCTGCCTTTGTTTATTTACATTACATGGGGGATGATGAGATTAGATGTTTACACACAAAAAGATGATAGTGCTTTATACTTCCAGGTTAGCTCACAGAAAGTGACAAGGACACGGTATCACTGGCAATATCTATAAACTAGCCCTGTACTTGCCAAAAATGTTCCTAGGAAAACAAATATCGCCACCACATCTAAAGATTGGTATGCTGAAACATATTAAATTTTACATTGGTCTGGATATACTTTAAGGGGTATATTTCTAAAGCAGTAAATGGGACATTCACTGAAATGTACAACACATGCATCAGGTAAAATGTTTGGTAATGTCTCATTTTCTGCACTAGAAATATAATACTATGGGATTGATTTACTAAAAAAAACTGATGTAAAATCTGGCAAAGTTCTGCATATAAACCAATCGGCTTCCAGTTTGTTAGTTTGTTTTTTCTAAAGCTTAATTGAACAAGCTGAATTAAGAAGTTGATTGGCAACCATGCACAGCTGCACCAGATTTGCACCCTCCGGTTTTAGTAAATCATCCCCAAAATGTTTTATATATTTAACATGCACACACATTCCATTATCACTTAGGAACACTAGATGGCAGCAAAGTCAATCGTTTGTATCATGAAACACACCAGGTAGATGACTACATCAAGTCAGTGCATTTCATAATTTCACCTTTATAATAAATACAGATATTGCAAGGATGATTCAACACAGCAGTACTGTGGTACTGCAAAAGTGTAGTCAACGAGTTGTGAGTTTCCTGTTCAATGACCTTGTGATGACCATGCAATCATTCAATTGGAGGCAGGGTCCAACATTTGACCCTGGCTTAACAAACCAATGGGGAGAGGCAGGGTCCAACATTTGACCCTGGCTTAACAAACCAATGGGGAGAGGCAGGGTCCAACATTTGACCCTGGCTTAACAAACCAATGGGGAGAGGCAGGGTCCAACATTTGACCCTGGCTTAACAAACCAATGGGGAGAGGCAAGGTCCAACATTTGACCCTGGCCTAACAAACCCAATGGGAGAGGCAGGCTCCAACATTTGACCCTGGCTTAACAAACCAATGGAAAGAGAGAGAGATTGAGAGATTAATCGTAGTCTTCTATTTGGACTTCTATTCCACTCTATTGCGCCTAGCCTGTAGTCAGGGACAGAAGCTAAGTGCATTATAAAACTAGACCTGCAATCATAGCAGCTGGCAGAAGGAAATTTTCCAGCATCAAGTTCCCCTATGGTTCCCCACATTTGATCATGAATGCATAACTCACAGACTAAATTGGTGCTAGAAGACTTCCCTTGGACAGATACTGGAACTGCAGGTCTGAACAGGGGACAGGAATCTGTATAATACCTAGAAGCTGTCACTGACAGGTCCTACTCCGATTAAGGTCTGAATTGAGAGCTTCTCCACCTAGGGCTACCAGCTCAACATACACTATATTGCCAAAAGTATTGGGACACCCCTACAAATCATTGTATTCATGTTCCAATTACCTCCATGGCCACAGGTGTATAAAATCAAGCACCTAGGCATGCAGACTGCTTCTACAAACATTTGTGAAAGAATGGGTCGCTCTCAGGAGCTCAGTAAATTCAAACGTGGTACCATGATAGGTTGCCACCTGTGCAATAAGTCCATCTGTGAAATTTCCTTGCTACTAAATATTCCACAGACAACTGTTAGTGATATTATAACAAAGTGGAAGCAACTGGGAACAACAGCAGCTCAGCCACGAAGTGGTAGGCCATGTAAAATGACAGAGCGGGGTCAGTGTATGCTGAAGTTTACAGTGCGCAGAAGTCAATAGCTAAACTGTCTGCAGAGTCAATAGCTAAAGACCTCCAAACTTCAGATTATCCTTCAGATTAGCACAACAACAGTGTGGTTCATGGAATGGGTTTCCATGGCTGAGCAACTGCATCCAAGCCTGACATCACCAAGTGCAATGCAAAGCGTCGGATGCAGTGGTGTACAGCATGCATCTAGAGCAGTAGAGACGTGTTCTCTGGAGTGACAAATCACACTTCTCTGTCTGGAAATCCGATGGACATTTCTGGGTTTAGCGGTTGAACAGTATTTGCCTGACTGGGGGGTGGGGAAGTTTGGTGGAGGGTGATTTTGGTGTGGGGTTGTTTTTAAAGGCCTCATTTCTTTTTATGAAAACAGTAGAATGATGGGCTTTGCCAAAAAGCTGTAATTTTGTTTCGTCTGTCCTAAGCACATTCCCCCAAAATAATTTTGGCTTCCTCAGGTAAGTTTTGGCAAACTCCAATCTGGCTTTCTTATATTTCTGTGTCAGCAGGGTCCTTCTGTGTCTCCTACCATAGAGTCCCTTTTCATTCAGATGGCGACGTATAGTGCAAAGTGACACTGTTGTACCCTGTGCCTGAAGGTTAGTTTGCATTTGTCTGGAAGTTGATCGAGGTTCTTTATCCACCATTCGAACAATCTTTCACTGCAATCTTTGATCAATTTTTCTCTTTCGTCCATGTCCAGTGAGATTAGCTACAGCGCCATGCCTGGAAGTTGGTCGAGGATCTTTATCCACCATTTCGAAGAATACTTCGCTGCAATCTTTGATCAATTTTTCTCTTTTGTTCATGTCCAGGGAGATTTGCTACAGTGCCATAGGTGGGCTGTAAACTTCTTGACAATGTTGCACATAGTAGACACAAGAACATTAGGATCTCTGGAGATGGACTTGTAACCTTGAGATTCTCCATGCTTTTCCACAATTTTTGTTCTCAAATCCTCAGACAATTCTTTGCTGCTCTTTCTCTTCTCCATACTCCATGTGGAACACAGAGACATACAAGAGAAAACAAGATCGACGCAATCCGTAAAGACATGGCCGATGCTCAATATACCTCCCCACCTAGCCTCCCTCCCACGATAACCCCCTCAACTCTCCCCTCCTCTGACCTCGCAACCGCCCTGACCCCCACGACACCTAACATCCCGCACACTAAAACTTTCCCAACACTCCACTCCTTCAGCCTTGCTACTAGAGGTCACTAAGGTCTTCTCGGGAGCGCGCCTCACCACTTGCCCCCTTTACCCTGTCCCCACACAACTCCTCCGGTCTCCCTCCTCCTCCATCCTACACTCCCTCACCCACATCTTCAATCTCTCCCTCTCTACTGGTGCATTTCCCTCCCCCTTAAAGCACGCGCATATCACTCCCATACTCAAAAAACCCACCCTGGACCCCACCAACCTGAGCAACCTTAGACCCACCTCCCTGCTGCCATTTTCAACCAAACTCCTCAAACGCTTAGTCTACAGTCACCTAAGCTCCCACCTCAATGACAACAACCTCCTAGATCCACTACAGTCCTGGCTTCCATCCCCTACACTCCACCAAACCGCCCTACTCAAAATCACTAATGACCTGCTAACCGCCAAAGCTAATGGCCACTACTCAGTCCTACTACTCCTCAACCTCTCCGCGGCCTTCAACACAGTTGACTACCCTCTCCTCCTTAATAAACTATACTCCCTTGGCATCAGAGACTCCGCTCTCTTCTGGCTCTCCTCCTATCTATCCCAACGCTCCTTCAGCGTTACCTATAATGCTGCCACCTCCCCCTCTCTGTTGGGGTCCCCCAAGGCTCTGTCCTCGGGCCCCTCCTCTTTTCCATCTACACCTCCTCCCTTGGCCAACTGATACACTCCCACAGCTTCAACTACCACCTCTACGCCGATGACACACAAATCTACCTCTCTACCCCTCGCCTCACCACTTCAGTCTTCGCCCGAATCACCTGCCTACTGAACAACATATCAGACTGGATGTCACTCCACTTCCTCAAATTGAACCTTTCCAAAACCGAGCTCCTAATTTTCCCCCCAGCCCGCCCCCCCCCCCCCTCCATCACGACCAACAACGTCACCATCAGTCCCATCCCGCAAGCCAAAGTCCTAGGTGTCATTCTAGACTCAAATCTGTCCTTCCAACCCCATGTCCAATCGCTGGCAAACTCATGCAGGCTTCACCTCCGCAACATCTCCAAAATACGTTCGTTCCTAACCCCAGACTCTACTAAACAACTCATTCACTCCCTTATTATCTCACGAATCCATTCATAACACTGCCCCAAACTACCTTACCGACCTGATACCCAAATACCACCCAACCCATACTCTTCGCTCCTCACAAGACCTCCTACTTTCTAGCTCCCTGGTCTCCTCCTCCCACGCCCGACTGCAGGACTTCTCCAGGACTTCCCCCATCCTCTGGAACTCATTACCCCAATCCATCAGACTGTCACCTACCCTCCTCACCTTTAGGCACACCCTGAAACCCATCTCTTCATGGAAGCCTACCCCACCCTCACCTAACAGCCGATCTCCTCCACTCCTCCCACCACTCCATCCCCCACAGCCACTTCCTCCTGTACCACTATCCCCTCCCTCCTAGATTGTAAGCTCGAAAGAGCAGGGCCCTCGAACCTCTCATATATTGTTTTGTTACTGTATTGTCTCATGTACTGTCCCCCCACTATATTGTACAGCGCTGAGCAAACCTTTTGGCGCTATATAAACACTGTATAATAATAATAACAGAAAGGTTGAGTCAATTTTTCACCATTTTAACTGGTTGCTGGTGTGATTTCTATATTGTCAGCAACTGTTAATTGATACAAGTAAGTTTAATTACAAATTACAGGAGCATCACAAACTTGGAATGCAACTACTTCTTACAATTTTGAGAAGGTGCCAATAATTTTTTTTTTTTGGGGGTTGGGGTTTTTTTGCGTGAAATGTGTCAGATTTGTTTTTTTTGTTTCTCCACTTTTTTGTGTCATACCAATACAAACAAAAGAAATAAACATGAGAATGTCTGAACATTTATAATTGCAATGATTTTCTGGGCAAAGTGGTGCTTTATCTGACAGAAATGCAGGGGCACCAATATTTTTGGCCATGACTGTATATGTAATGTGTCACAGCGCTACCTCATATCTGGTTACTCATAAGAGGTCAAGTGTGTTGGTAGGTATTTATAGTTTTATAAGGTAGCAGCAGTGGGCATATTTACACACAGGTCATTTTTTGCACATACTGCTTTATTCACATTATTGTAATTTTATTTTGTTTATTTAGATCATATAATTGTATACAGTACAAAGAGGATAGTGCCTATTCTAATGGCCCCCCCTGAGCGCAGTGTTTGAATATGGATAATCATATTGCTGTGGAAACTGTACAACTATTCCTACTATCCTCTGGCTGAAATTCTTTCCAACTACCAACATACAACCATACAGAATATTCATGGATGTATGCAGGCAGTCTCTGTAAACATTTGGGCTGCCTGATGTTCAGTTCAAGCAGTGTGATCTTACGATGTTCGGACAGTGTGATCTTACGATGTACTAGCCTCTGATAAAATAGTGAACTGATGAATAAAACAAGCAGCAATAATGATGTGCACAACCAATGCCCTTATAATCTAATGGGCTTTCAGGTGAAAAGCTTTTTAGTGAAAAAGAAATATAATAAAGTGAGAAGTTTTCAGCACAAACCTGCTGTTGTTTATGAGCAATTCTGTTCCCTTACTCCATGAATATTTAGGTTTTGGAGCAGCCTTTGGTTTGCATTCTATAATGACACGACCACCTTTTGCAGCTAAAATCTTCTTTCTCATAGGATTAAATTCAAATGTTGGTGCTAAAGCTAAAGAGGAGGCAAAAAAATCATTAGGGCAGTTAGTAAAATGTGTCCCTAATTATATGTACCTTTAACAAATTCAAATTATTGTTGAAATGAAATTAGCACCACTAACCAAGGATCTTCAGTTCAGCATTTGCTTGAATGACTCCATAGTGATTTTCTGCTATACACTGGTACATTCCAGCATGGAACATGGTTAAGCCTCGGATTTTCAGTTCACCTTTACCATACTGAAAAAAAAATGTTGAGCCAAGCTTAAAATATTTTGAATTCTACTATAACATAACTTTAGGTAAATGCTTACACAAGTATATGGTTAGGTTAAAGAAAAAAACTGAAGGGAAGGAAAATAGAACCAACTGGATTGCTGTTGCCATTTGTATCTAAGTTTAGATCAGGGGAGCCCAACCTTTTGAAAAGCGAGGGCCACTTAAGTGATTTGATAAGCGGTCGTGGGTTACAATGAAATGAAACGGTTCACAATTTCATTTTTTTAAATTGTGAATAACATAATGAACATTTTTCTCCTGCAGCTGCTGAATGCTGGTGGGAGGGAGAGGAGGAGAAGCCGGTTTTCAGAGACTGCAGGAGGAAAATGGAGAGGATCAGTGTCTGTATATGCTGCCCCCGCCACCCCTCCTGTCCAAGTGTAAAAATTGAATGTCAAAGGAAGGACACACGGGCCCAATGGCAACCCCTGACACTACACTAGTGGTGTTGGTGGTGGTGGTGGTGGGGGGGAGGTTAAAACATGCTTCAACTATGGGATTTTACTGACCCTCCCAAACCACAAATGTAAATGAGCCCTTACTGTTCTGAGCCCCCTATGAGGCTGCTTTCACATCGACGAGCTGCAGTTTACCCGCAGCACTGCGGGTTAGCTGCACTTTGCCATAGACTTCTATTATATATAGTGAACTTTCTGAAAACCCAGATAATGATCAATGGATTGCTAACACAGGGCATGCGCTTCCCTGATTTAAGGTCACAAGCCACATCAGAGGGCTTCACGGGCCACAGGTTGATCACCCCTGGTTTAGATGCTAGATAAAACACATCACGACATGTGCATACCAATAATTGAATAACTGCAAACAAGACTGGCTTGACTTTTCCCTAGGGAATATTTATTTGACCACATATACTGGCGGCTGCACAATTTCAGGTACAGTTATGTTCTAAAGTTTGCATACCCTTGGAAAATTGGTAATATACAGTATATGTACCATTCTTAAAGAAAAGATGAGTGAGCAGGCAAAACACCTTTCTTTTATTTTTTATGGGATTAATATGCAAGTGTAGGTCATAACAAAATGGCACAATCATAAAACAAAACAAGTAAACAAATGACCCCTGTTCAAAAAGTCTACATACCGTTAGTACCTAATATTGTGTATTGCCTCATTTAGCATCAATGACAGTGTGCAGTCTTTTCTAATAGTTGTCTATGAGGCCCCGAATTCTTGCAGGTGGTATAGCTGGCCATTCATCTTGGCAAAATGCCTACAGGTCATGCAGTCTTTGGTTGTCTTGCATTAACCGCACATTTGAGATCTCTCCAGAGTGGCTCAATGGTATTAAGGTCAGGAGACTGTGATGGCCACTCCAGAACCTTCGCCTTTTTCTGCTCTAACCACTGGAGGGTCAACTTAGCCTTAGGGTCATTGTCGTGCTGGAAAGTCCAAGAGCATCCCATGCACAGTTTTGTGCAGAAGAATGCAAATGGTCTACCAGTATTTCTGATAACATGTTGTATTTATCTTGCCATCAGTTTTCACAAGATTCCTCATGCCTTTAGAGCTTACACCCCCCCGAAAACCAATGAGCCGCCGCCATGCTTCACAGTGGGGATGGTATTCTTGTTGCTATAGACCTTGTTGACCCCTCTCCAAACATAGCACTGATGGTTGTGACCATAAAGCTCTATTTTGGTCTCGTCACTCTAGATTAGTGTGCCAGAAGCTATGAGGCGTCTCAAGGTGTTGTCGGGTATATTGTAACCAGGCTTTTTTGTGGCATTAGTGCAGTAAAGGTTTCTTTCTGGCAACTCGACCATTCAAAGTATCATCGTACTTTGTTCTTTGAAACAACCACATCGCCTTTTTCCATAGCTGCCTGTATTTATACTGAGGTTACCTGAGGATTTTTCTTTGTATCCTGAACAATTCTTTTGGCAGTTGTGGCTGCAGTTTTTCTTGGTCTACCTCACCTTGGCTTGGTATCAAGAGATCAATGAATTTTCCTCTTCTTAATAGGTAGTTGAACAGTGCTGACTGGCAAATTCAAGGCTTTGGATATCTGATTATATTCCTTTCCATCTTTATAAAGTTCCATTAACTTGTTACTCAGATCTTTTGCCAGTTCTTTTCTGCTCCCTATGGCTCAGTGTCTACCCTGCTCAGTGCATCCATGTGAGAGCTAACAAACTCATTGACTATTTATACACAGACACTAATTGCAATTTAAAAAGTCACAGATGTGGGAAATGAACCATTAATTGCTATTTTAACCTGTGTGTGTCACCTTGTGTTTGTACCAAGGCCAAACATTCCAGGGTATGTAAACTTTTGATCAGGGCCATTTGAGTGATTACTGTGTTCATTATGATTTTAAAAAGAGCCAAACAAAATACTATGCAATAGTAAATAACTTTGTATGACCACTATCCTTAAATAAAATACAGTTTTTTGGCATGATCAGTCATATTTTCAACATCAATGCCAAAATTTCACAATTTCTGCCAGGGTATGCAAACTTTTGAGCACAATTGTACCTTGTTCAAAATAATGAACACAAGGCTCATCAGGTTCATTTGCAGTCAATGAGGTATAACAAAATCTTGTTGAATTTTTTTTTTTAAAGTTAGTTATACCTAAAATTGGATTCATCTGCTATATGATTGATCATGGATTCTTAAAGCTACCTTAACTTGAGAGATACATGGTGGGTGCCATCACTGACCTCTTTCTGAGTGAATCACTGACCCAAAGCAAGCATGCAGGTAAGAAAATCAGAAAAATGTTCTGTAGAAAGAATTCTGTAAGAGATCTATATTTTTATGCTTGGTCCATTTACTGAAGCAGCATCAGCATGAAAGCCAGGCAATCAGCAATATATAGAAGGAGAGATCAGCATTGAAATATATGCTTCTCTCATGACAGGTTTCCTTTAAATGGGTTGATTTAGAAAAGGCAAATAGGCTATTCACTTTGCAAGAGATTTTGCACTTTGCAAGGAAAGTGGTGAAATTTTACTTTGCAAAGAGTATCCAATCACATGCATGCAAATTAAAAAAAAACATTTTGCCTGCATTTGATTGCAATTTTTAGGAGAGATCAGCATTGCATTATGTTTCTCTCATGACAGGTTTCCTTTAAAAGGGTTGATTTAGCAAAGGCAAATAGGCTATTCACTTTGCAAGAGAATTTGCACTCTGCATGGGTAATAACCCCAGAGCTTACTGAAAGTGGTGAAATTTCACTTTGCAAAGAGTATCCAATCACATGCATGCAAAATTAAAAAAAGAACATTTTTGCTTGCACTTGATTGGATGATGGATGTCAGTACACCTTCACCTCATTCACTAATCTCTAGTGAAAATTTCCTTGCAAAGTGAACCATCTATTTGTATTTAGTAAATCAACCCCAAAATGTATGCACATTAACATCTTTGATTTGTTCACTTTTTTATACCAGTAAAAAAGTATTTTGATATAGGTTAACTTTATTGTTTGATCTGTATACGAAAAAACTACCCATCCCGTCTGTCACAGCGGCAGATGGATTTGTGGTTTTCAGAGTCAAAAAAGTGTGTGAAAATCACTGTACTCCTAGTCCATTATCACTTCCTCCTGGAAGCCTATGCCTCAGTACGGGCAGAGAGCTGGAGGAAGATTCTGGCATTGTACCCATGATTCACTGATTTTGGGTGCAATACTCTGCAGGCTTCTGTGAAAAAAAAAATAAATGCACATTTTTTTTTTTCCTGCAAAAATATTCACATTAGTTTGTTAAGGTGGACTTAGCCTTTAAACCTGTCCATTAACCTCCCTAGCGGTCTGATTACAGTATGCCCATATTTCTGTGCTCAAAGCAGTACATTTTTTTTGCATGGAAATATGTATTTTTTTTTATTGTAGGCCTGTAATTTTCAGGAATAACTCACTGAAATCTCTCCGAAAAAGAGTCTAGTAAACATTCCGGGTATGATAAAATTTGAAACACAAAATCATAAATTATAAGTTAATAAATAATCATAAAAAATAATAATATAATAATAAATTTAATGAAATAATATAATCAAACCCAAGCGCCAAGTTCGCACATCACTGAGCTCAGTCGCAAAATCGTTTTCAGTGTCTGATGACGAATTTCCCCACGAATCATTATCACTCAATCCTGCAAGTAGTTCTAATTTACTATCGCTGTTCTCTAGCTGGTCTAAATCCGCTTTTGACCTAAAGGGACGCTTTTTGGATGCCATGGACTTTTCTCAGTTTCCAGGCAGAAAGAACAGTAAAAATGCAGGCAGGGCACAGGACAAAGCACTAGGGACAAAATGTATGTGAAATACTTTGATACAGTAATGTTTTCTATGTGATTTTAGTGAATTTAGTGAATGTCACTTTTACAACTTTCAAATTTCCTGCCAGTTCCGTCCCCTGTACGTCCTGACGTTGCATGGAACGGAACCTAGAAGACAGATGCCGGCATCGGCCAGAGGACATGGCTGGGGACACTGCAGGAGGGACATCGTGGGAGCGCAGGACAAGGTAAGTGAAGAAAGAGATCCCGGAGCAGCGCTGCAAGGTATTCCCGAGTGTAGCTCGGGGTTACCGCTTGTGGTGCTGAAAACATTACCCCGAGCTACACTCGGGAATACCTCCAGGGAGGTTAAGTGAAAAAATGTTCTTGTTAATCATGTCAAAAATTCAACTGCCCTGTGTTTTGTGCATTACCTCCCAGTTCTTTTCTTGGACTGCTGAACAATGAAACAATTAAAAATGAGGGGGTTATTCAAATTCAGTCCACAAAAAGCACGTGCTATCATACCACAAAATGTGGTTAGGGGCTGAGCGCATTTCTGTACATACATGGCCTCTGTCAGCCTGTCATTGGTTTCATATAGAGGATGCTGGCCCTGGCTGTAAGCAAACACCTGTGACTCCGGGACGCAAAAAGACACTCCTTTTTTACAATGTACAGCTTTCTGCACCCATGTGCATGAGTCTTTATAATAAGCGGTCTCTTTTAACACATATATAAAACTATGTAGTAATTATCATAACAGGTTTTCTCAGACAAATCTGATTGAAGTGCTTACCGCTTCCCCATTTTTCAGCCATCTAATGGAAGGAACTGGCTTCCCCTTGGCAATACAGGGCCAAAGCAGGTCACTACCTATATCCCTTTCTGTATCATTTATATGTTCCACCCACTCAGGTGCAGCTGAAAGACAAAATAAAAAAAAAATGGAATTTATGTTTTGCAAATATAGAGCTTTTCCAAATGTAAAAACACATTTATAATCATAAACCTATTACATAAATTGCTTTTCTATCACTTTCACTTTCCAATTACATGTAAACCCAATCACTAAAATCTTATATAAGAATTAAAATGTCAATGACATTTCAAACGTAATTTTGCATATTTTTAAATGTGTAGCTTTCGTTAGGCAAATACTTATCGATCCTGTTATGAAACTTCCTGTTATATGATAACAACTGCCTCCCAGTTGTGCTCTTGAGCTGTCACACACCAACTTCCAATGGAGGCTACAAGTGGCTGTTTTACACAGACATGGACAGCAGTTGTCACCATCAGGAAACCTACCCTGAGAAATGCCATTCATGTAGAAGGCAAGTGAAGAGGCTACAGGGGATCAGCAGCACTAAAATGCAACAAAGGATTAAAAATGAATGATGCAGCTACTGTAACAATTTATTGCTAGCTAATGTCCTACTTTACTTAATTTTTCCATGGTAATATACATTTGGAAGCCCGTTACTCAGTACTGTAAAATGCATTGTCTATTCCTCTACATCAGGGGTCACCAAACTATGGCCCACAGGCCACAACTGGCCCATTACGAAATATTTTCTGGCCCCCAGCAATTGTTTCCGTACTTGCATCATGTGTTTCCAGGGTGCAGGTGGGTCGGTCACCACCATAACAACCAATGATGCAGAGTGACCAGTACACACATTTGTTGCTATGGTGCTGGAGGCCAGTACACTTGCACCATTGTATTTCAATGTTTTTATTAATTAATAAACAGTTTAAGACAGGAGAAACAAACCACGCCCACGCAGGGGCTATCAATTGCACATAAAAAAATAAAAAAAAACAGTGCTCTAACACCAACAGAGCAAAAGGTGCACCCACGCAAGGGATATCAGTGGCACATAAATGAAAAAAACATTGGTATAACACAGACAGTAACTCAAACCAAAGGCAGCTATCCACTGCCACACCAAAAACAAACAAAAAAAGGAAAGGAAAGAAGAGTACAAAAGGAAAAAGATAACAAGACCAAGAGCAGGGGTTCGAGAACGCCAATACCAAGTAACATCACAACCCCAGACTAGCCAGGGGGAGCATGGAAAAGGAATATTGCAACCACCGCTCCCATATTTTCAAGAATTTTTGTTGGGAGTCGTTACAGATACTAGACATCTGTTCATTGAGCATCATAGTGGTCATACGGTCCAGCACCCCCTGAAGAGAGACAAACAGGCTCTTCCAGGCATGAGCAATTGTTCTGGTGGCCAACAAAAACAAATAGGAAGCCAACTTCTGCTGGTGAGCCAAGAGGCCTGGTATGGGACAATGAAGCAAAGCATACCAAGCACATGGAGAGATGGAACAAGGTGAAAAGGAGGCCAAACACACAAGACCAAAAATGAAACAGTCTCGGGCATGACCACCAAATATGCAATACATCACCACGATGGCCACAACCCTGAAAGCATTGATCACTGCAGGCAGGGTTCGCCTGGGCCAAACAAGCCAGAACCCATTACCAACGAAAAGACACTTTGTATGCCGCCTCCAGTGTGGTCGTATTAAATGAACATTTAGCGACCAGGCCCTTTTCCAGTCCTCCAGATCCACGACTGCCCCCAGGTTGCGCTCCCACTGAGCGACATATGAGAGAAGTATGCATCGAGCGTCTGTTGAAAGCTGCATTAAGAAGAGAAATAAGGCCCGGGGCGTCTGGACGCTGTTGGCAAAGCAGTTCAAAGGCAGATTTCTGCTACGGGAAAGCAAAAGTCCCCCGCAGTGAGGTCAGGCAATGCCGCAATTGAAGGTAATGAAAAAATTCCACCGGAGGGACATCCCATGACTCCCAAAGAGAATGCCAAGTGGGGAAGAACCGAGAAGTCAAAAAGTGTCGCACCTGCGAAAAACCATTGGCCATCCACCAAGAAAACGCCCTTGGTTGATCTAAACCCGGTGGGAATAGAGGGTTGTTAATATTTGGAAGCAAAGGTAGGAGTAGGAGCCACTAGAGTAGCATACTGAATCCCACACTTGTAAGCCATGGAGCAAAATCGGACTCGGGCGTAGGGCAGGGGAAGCCATAGAAGCGTTGATGTCGCAATAGAGGCACAAATAGGTAGTTTTAGCAGGACACAGAGAGGAACGTTTGAGGAAGCGTGCAACATAGACAGCAGGGCAATCTGGCTCGCCTGATAATACTTAGTTACATTAGGCACCCCAAAGCCACCATGGAGTCTATGAACAAAAAGCGTATTTCTGGAGACTCTGGGGCCCTTATCGGCCCAGATAAAATGCATAATCTTTGAATCAACCGAAGGAAATGAGGAGGAACCCGCACTGGGAGAGTACGAAAATAGTATAACAATTTTGGCAAGATGGTTATTTTCACTGAATTAACCCGTCATCTCCAAGACAGGTGCAGAAATTGCCAGGAGTGCATAAGAGAGGACACAGAGCAAAGCAATGGATAATAAATTGCAGCAAACAACAAGACATAGGTAGGGGTCAAGCGAATGCCTAGGTATTCAAGAGAAGAGGAAGCCCATTTGTAAGGGAAGTGGGACTGTAGGTGCGAAACCAAATCTGAGGCCAAAGTAATATTGAGAGCGACAGTCTTATCCAAATTAATACAGAGACCCGAAATCAAGGAGAAGCGCACAAGAACCTGTTTCAAATTTGGAAGCATCATCAGGAAATTAGTGAGAGTCAAGAGGGTATGGTCCGCAAAAAGGTTCAACTTGAACTCCTGTCCCGCGTATGGAACACCCGATATATTACAATTGGCCCGGAGCGCTAAAGCCAGTGGCTCAAGCACCAGGACAAAGAGCGCCAGGGGCAGCCCAGTCTCGTCCCCCGCCAAATAGGAAAGGGATCTGAGAAATACCCAGTGTATTTAACAAAAGCTGAAGGGGAAGAATACAAGGCTTGAATCCAAGAAAGAATAGAATCCCCAAAACCCCAACGAGACAGCACAAACCACAGATATTTCCAGGATAGAGAATCAAAGGCTTTATATATGTATAAGGACAGTAAGAATCCCGGGATTTTCTGCTGTTGTAGAAAGTGTACAAGATGGACCACCTTACGAACGTTATCACCCGCCTGCCTCCCAGGGACGAAAACCTACTTTGTTTGTGTAAACGAGACTATGCAAATATGTATTGATACGAAGACTAAGAATCTTGCCCAATATCTTAAGGTCTTCATTAAGAAGAGAAATGGGCTGGAAGGCTTGTGGTTCCAGCACATCATCAGTTGTTTTAGAAATCATGGAGATATGAGCTCTAAGCGCGTCCGGAGAGGGCAAAGAGCCCTGTCGTAACTCAATGAAATAGTCAGCCAAGAAGGGCGCCAACAGCAATTTTCTTATAATAGAGACTGAAGCAGCCGTCGGGACCTGGGGCCGCGGTGGACCGTAGACATTTGATAGCTTGCAGCACTTCCGATACGCTGACACCGGCGTTGAGGGCCATTTGCGCCGCCTTGGATAATCCAGGAAGTCGAAGATCTTGGAAGAATGCCTCTGCCTGAGCCACAGGGAAGGGATCTAGTTTATCGTAAAGGTGTGAAAGGAAGTCTGCAAAACAGGAAACAATCTGCTGGGGATTAGAAGTACAGCCACCTGCGGGAAGTCGCAATCGGATCTGTTTATGGGGTACACTTGCACCATTTAAACACATGACACTGATCTAGGGCAGGTGGCTTCCAGGGCCCCCTCAGCAGAAGAATACCAGATCCACATCCCACCCTCCATCTAAACTTTGTTCCTCACCCTAGGTCATGCTGTCACTGTGGTGAATATGACTCTATTGTGAAGGGGGGACTGTGATGTGATGGGGCTCTAAAATGAAGGGGGGGCATTTAGATGTGAAAAGGTGAGCTCTGATGTATAAGGGGGCTCTGATGTGAAGGTGTGGCTTTAAAATGAAAGGGCTCTGATGTGATAGAAGGCTTCTGAAATGAAATGATGGCTCTAGTGTGAATAGGGGACTCTGATGTGATTGGATGGCTTCTGATGTGAAATTTTCTTGCAGCATGCTTATCCATTCATTTATATTGTATTCCTTAATTTATAAAACTGATTTTTTTTTGGCCCAGGAAAATGTATAAAACATTTGATGTGACCCTTGTACCAAAATGATAGACCCCTGTTCTACACACATAGTTTACTTCACTAATACCTAGAGCTGCAGCTTCAAAGTTTACCTGTAGCATCACCTACAAGTAAATTCTGCTAATATTACCTGGTAACACAATACCTATTACATTTCAATTGCAGGGGGGTATGTAAATTGTAAAAAACGTAAAGATTGCTGATGCTCATAAGAGAGATGGGTCAGAAGCAGCAGCTCAACTTAAATTTATCCTCGAAAATCCCTTTTAAATGTCATTAGTAAATGCTCTTAAGTAGGGCTGTAATTTGACTGCATAGCTTATAATCGCATGCGCAGCACAATCTGCTTGGCTTTATGTATAGATCATCTAAAAGGCGTACATGCCTTTGTTCAGTAATGAGATTTTTGCATTACAACTGAAAGGTGTTTGTCTCAGGGAATGATCATAAATACAGTGTTAAAATGTGGAACTTTTAGGTGATCTCTAAAAACCTATCTCTTCAGGGAAGCCTATCCCGTCCTCAGCTAATAACAGAATCTTCTATTCCTCCTATCAATTCATCCCCCGCAGTTATTACCTTTTGTACCACCAGCCCCTCCCTCTTAGATTGTAAACTCCAAGGAGCAGGGCCCTCCTAACCCTCTTGTATTGAACTGTATTGTTGCTGTATTGTCTCCCTTTTTATTGTAAAATGCTGAGCAAACTGTTGGTGCTATATAAATCCTGTATAATAATAATAATAACTATTAAATATATTAACCTCCCTAGCAGTCTGATTATGTCCATATTTCTGTGCTCAAAGCAGTACATTTTTTTGCATGGATATATGTATTTTTTTTATTGTAGGCCTGTAATTTTTAGGAACAACTCACTGAAATCTGTCCGAACAAGAGTATAGTAAACATCCCAGGTATGTTAAAATTTAAAACACAAAATCATAAATTATAATTTAATAATCATAAAAAATAATAATATAATAATAAATTTAATTCAATAATATAATCAAACAAAAACACTGAAATTTGAAATAGAGCGCCAAGTTCGCACATCACTGAGCAAAGTCGCAAAATTGTTTTCCCCACGAATCATTATCACTCAACTCTGCAACTGGTTCTAATTTACTATCGCTATATACTATATGTTCTCTAGCTGGTCTAAAACCACTTTTGACCTAAAGGGACGCTTTTTGGATACCATGGACATTTCTCAGTTTCCAGGCAGAAAGAACAGTAAAAATGCAGGCAGGGCACAGGACAAAGCACTCGGGACAAAATGTATGTGAAATGCTTTGATACAGTAATGTTTTACTATTTGATTTTAGTGAATTTAGTGAATGGCACTTTTTGTCATTATCAAATTTCCCGCCTTTCCGTCCTGATGTCGCAGGAGACGGAACCCAGAAGACAGATGCTGGCATCCGCCAGAGGACATTACCGGGGACACTGCAGGAGGGACATAGTGGGAGTGCAGGAAAAGGTAAGAGAAGAACAGATCCCGGAGCAGTGCCGCATGGTTAGCCCGAGTGTAGCTCTGGGTAACCGCTTGTGGTACGGAAACTTTACCCCGATCTACACTCAGGAATACCGCCAGGGAGGCTACATAAAATCCACACTGGAGAGATAACATTAATAGGTCTGGTACTTTTATTTTAAGGAAAAACATTTTTTGCCATGATGACCAATGTCACTGGGAATGAAGGTGAAGTTAAATCCAAAATTTCGAGGTCAGGAACAGAGGGAACATCTTCCAATGGGATGCAAAATCACCAGCACGCAATCTTAAAAAGGCAGACATTTATTCATCACCTATTAACAGCAACATTTTAAGGTCACTAAGGACTTCTTCCTCAGGCAGCAATGACAATAAACAACTAATAGACACAAAGTTTCACTAAACCACGATAGCCAGAAAGAGGCCCCCACCCACTGAAATGCCCATGAAAGCCAATTATTTGCAAATAAAGATATAATAATACATGTCTAATCAGTGCCATATACATCAAAGAAATAGGAAAAGGATTCCCAACATGTCCATCAAAAAACCAACTGTTGTGTGAAATGGTTTCAATAAACAAAATAGAACCTATATGCATCCTGGTAACCATGGGGACCCGCCTGTCAGATCAATGGTCAAATCACACAGGGGGGAGGAGGGGGATGGTGAGACTGGAAGTCTTATGTCCTGTCTAATTATTAGGATGGTGTGCTGGTGATATTGCATTCCTTGGACTTCAGTTATGGAGCCATCTGTCGTTGTACATCAACATCTGTCGATAATACGGCCTGTTGATGCATGGAAATCACTGGATTCTTTGTTTATCTTCTAATGGGGATACTTGTTCCCATGACAACTTTATAAGAGGACATTGAAAAGATATATTCTAACTTTCTGTTGAGTCTACAAGACAGAAAGTGAAGGGAACCACAATGCTCTCCTTCCTCAGAGAGAGTTTTAAAGAAAACCTGTAGGGAGGTTGCCACTTAAAAAAAGCTAGATCCCTGGTTGAAATGCTGAACCACTGGTCCCAGCTCTTTCTCAGTCACTGACTCAGCTCAATAATAGCAGAGTAAAGTCCAAACTCCTGTTCTATATACTTGTAGGAGAGCAACCCATTGGAGTTGATTTATTAAAAGAGTAGAGAATGTTCACTTCAATCATTAAATCATGTGCAAGCAAAATTCTTGCCTTGTAAATTTCCAAATTACAAACATCCAAAGCGACCAAGCCTTAAAGTGACACTATGCTCTTGGTTAAATGATTTAAAATGATGACAATTTTAATTTTTGTTTGCTTGTTTTTGTTGCTGTGATCTGACTTCCTGCTAGAGAGTGACTACATTCAGTCTCCATGGTCTCTCTGTAGGAACAGATCCACCTTCTCTTGATCACTCCCGAGATGGACTATGGACTATAGGATTTATAAAGTGTATAGAGCAGCGCACAGGACAGCAACTAATGTGCACTGCTTGTTTGCAAAAAAACGGACATGATGGAGAAAAGGAGAGCTTTGGGAGCTCTCAGAGGAGGCTACATGGAAGCAGAAAATCACTGTTAGAAACTATTTAATGAAAAATAGATTACAAGACCATTAAGAAGTGGATATGTATAGATTACTTTTGAAGATTAAGGATATCATTTAGAGACGCTTTAACTTTATTCACTATGCTGAGTTAGCATTCTTTACTTCCTAAGTAAATAACTTCAAAGCACTTCCACCTGGCAGTACTGGGGTCGTTGGTTCGAATCCCAATCATGGCACCACCTACCTGGAGTTTGCATGTTCTCCCTGTGCCTGTGTGGGTTTCCTCTGGGTACTCCAGTTTCCTCCCACACTCCAAAGACATGCTGGTAGGTTAATTGGATCCTGTCTAAATTGGCCCTAGTATGTGTATGTATGAATGTGAGTTAGGGACCTTAGACAGTACGCCCCTTAAGGGTTAGGGACTGATGTGAATTGATATGTAAAGTGCTGCGTAAATTGACGGCGGTATACAAGTACCTATAATAAATGAATAAGTCCTTAGATAAAAGCATTAGCATGACAGCAAAGCAACTAGCATGTCCAAAAAAAGTCACTGATGACAGCTTACAGATTTCCCACAGTACAAGTTTTGCTTAACTCTGAGGGCTCGTTCACACCATGGTGCAGAGCCGTCAGTTTTTCTGAACACATTCTGCAAGGGTACAACTAAATCAATTGTTCTCTATGTGCCCTGTTCACACCACAACACTAGCATCACCTGTAGATTTTTTCTGCGCAGGAATCTGCAATGTGTATACAAGTCATTGAAGCGCACATGAAAACTGATGTCAACTGATGTCTCTGCAAGTGAAATCTGCGCGTCAGTTTCCATCCGTTTTTCTGCATGTATGGTGTGAACGCGGCCGTAAAGCAACCCTGTTGCAGATATATGTATTTAACCCCATCCTAACTGTAAAAGAAGCCAAAAAATACTAACCTTTCCTAATTTCCTGAACTCCAATTATTAGCACTGGTTCCCTGAGGTCCACAGAAAAACTGAAACTTGTCGGCATATTGATATTCTGAGCCCTCTGCAGCTCTTATGGTTTTCTCCCTTCGTTTTCTATTTTGCAAACGTACCTTTTTTGTATGTCTTCAGCCTGGTCATGTGACACACCGGGTCCCCTTCCTATTTAAAGTGTTACTAAACCCACAACAGTAAAATCAGTCTGTATATGCAGTAAAGCATGCTTGATATACTCACTGTGGAACCTAAGGGGTTATTCCTCTGCATTGTGTAAAAATGCTGTTTGATCCTGACTTCTCTGATCCTCCCCTTCTTCCAGTGCCCCCCTCTTATCTCTTGATAAGATATATTATCTCCCTCTTATCTCCTGATAAGACATATTGGGATTTATTTACTAAAGCTGGTTCACTCGGAATCTCGAGCACTTCTGCACAGAAACTAATCTGCTTCCAGGTTTTATTGCGAAAGCTTAATTGAACAAGCTGAGGTTAGAGGCTGATTGGCTACCATACACAGCTGCACCAGATTCTGAGTGAACTATCTTTAGTAAATAAACCCCACTGTGTGGAGACACTCTGCACATGCTCAGTTTGATGTGTATAGCTAGAGAGTTTTTTCTTTTTTTCTTGGGAGTGTATGTGACCAACACAGGGCCAATCAGCACCGTCCAGTCAGCGGTTCTGCATCCTCCTAGTGCAGAAAGAAAACTCCTACAAGCTTTAACCAGTGCTCTGCTGAACACTGATATAAGTCACAAGACTGCGTATTTAGCAGTTTATATTTGCTAAAATAATTGCATTTTTATGTAGTGTGTACTGTGGGAGACCAGATAGAGTGAATGCAGAGTCCTGGGTGTAGTAACACTTTAACTCTTCCCTAGTACTGGGTGGTCCATGATGATGCAGAAAGCAGAGCTAACGTAATGAAGTCAGTACAGCTGTCTACATTATTACACTGTGAATGCAGGGTGCTGTGGTGCTGTCCCCTCCTGGGAGGATCATTTGCACCCTGAACTCATAGGATGTCCTCAATCATTTAACCTAAAAGACTGAGGACATCTAATAGCAGAACGGAATCACTGCAGAAGACAGTGCCAGCAGCAGATGACCATGGCAGCAAGAGCCAGATTTATATTTTCAAACCTCCTGGAGGACCCTTTTTAAAAAAAGAAAGGAATCCAGAGTTTGGAAGCATATACATTACTGTGCGCTGGATAAACAACACTGTTCAGTATTCCTGTTACCTGTTATATTAAATCATTTTCTGAAAAATATTGGGAAAAGGTATCAATTGCTTACCTTGTACATGAACATATGCCCTGTGTGTGTCTTTCTCCTTAATGTTCTCAGCCTCACATTCATAAGTCCCTTCATCTTCTGGTTGGATGTTATAAATTTTAAGCACAGCACCCGACTGACTAATTTCAGCTGTGGCAGGCATTGCTTCATTCAGCTTACGCCATCTGATTACAGGTACAGGGCTAAAAGTGAGAAGGCAACATATATCAGTGTTTGTGGGGAAAACAAATGGACCCTTTTTAATACAATAACATCTCCCACAGACTTTTTAACAGTAACTTACCCACATCTACCCACATGACACTGAAATACAGGAATTGCACATGAACCCAACACTAAAATGGTTGTATACTCAGAACATTGGCATTTTAAACATTTTGTAAACAGTAAGATAAGAGGAATTTTTGACTTACCTGCAAATTCCATATCTTGGAGTACAGTGCAGGACACAGGCAACTCATTCATACACTATAGGACCTCCCAAAGTAATGAATAAAAGAGCAGACAACAACTAGACCATTGTGCAGCAGATCTTTGTGGCAGACGAAAGCACTTGAGTGCCTTATAAAGGTGTAAGGTGAAAGTGACATTAAAGTTTGCAACAACACCTGATCATCCGAGACTGATCTCTGGATGGATGAATTTTAGTGCCAAGTTTGAAAAATATACTCCATAAAGTGTATACTTTCGAAACAAAGCCCCATTTTGCACAGCAACAGTAAAATATACAGTGTGACTCTGTCTTATGTGTTCACTGCATATAAAATCCAGGCTTCGCCCATCATGGTGGACAAGGGACTGGGTTCCATTGTAATGGGCCTCAGCCCTGGACCAGTAGCTTACAAAAAAAAAAGTGCAGCGCTACAAATTCAAAAGTACAAAAAAGTAATATATAAATAAAAAAATAATTATAATGTCCAATAATGTGCAAAAAAATTATTTAAAATAAACATAAAGTCTTTAGTGACAAACAAAAGTTCAGATATTTCAGAAAAAAATTATGTTTCCCAAAAAAAAATTCAAAAAAAACTTCTTGGGGATCCACCATCACCAGCATCTCAAAAAATTACTGCCTCTTACCAGACTTTTGTGTGACCCCACAATTAAGTGGCGGTCAAGAGAAGCATAGTGCGGATACCAAATTAGAATGACGAACTGCGTTATTGCTGACTCTGGGGGGGGATACGGTGCACTCCATACACTGGATGTAGCTAGACGCCAATAGGATCCCTCTCATTAGATTCCCAAATCAAGGCATTAGCTCCCAAACTGATACTTCAGATAAATTGACAAATATAGACCTAAAACAATGAATTATCCTCAAAGAGGACAACATCATCCAAAAAGCAAAATAATCCTCATAGTGTAGTATGATTAGCAGGATTTATTGCCTTATAACGTAGTATTATATGCACATCAAAAGATACTTAAAACAGCATGTCACCATATAACCAAATGGTAAGTTTATAACCAACAAGATGGCTGCCGTGTTCCGGTGCGTGATGACGTCACCAGTAGCTACCGCAAAACATTGCACCAATGCTAAAGTAAGTGCCTCATGCAGGATCCAGTGCCCAGAGCAACATAACAGACCGTTCCCACACTGTGGGGTCTGGGTACGGCTCCCGAGGTTTTACCCAGGTTGTACTGATCCAGATACACTGCTTGTGTAGTTAGTTAGGTTGATTGAAGAAATCTTTAGAAAGTAAAGAAGACAGTAATAAAGTAATGAAGCTGGTTTCTCCAGAAAGGAAAGAGGTCCATTTCCTACAGACACTAGAAAAAAAAAAACTACTGTACTCACAGAATGGGGTTTTCTGATAGGGGAGGCGCCCCAGGGGGCATGACCTTAAAACCTTGTCAGTATCCAATCACCTGAATATATAAGCCCATAACCCATGGTGTTTGAATAAGTTGCCTGTTTTCTGTGCTGTACAATTAAAATAGGTTATTGCAGAAAAATAAACAAAAAAAATTGCTTTCCGAAATAAAAAAATTAGATTCCAAAGTATATTTTGGAAATATTTTTAAAGTGCCAAAATGTTATTCTACTTCAAGATAGAGTGGGAAAGGATCAAAGCCTCTGTTTTTATTTTAGTGTCCCCACTGTGCGGTTTTATTGTTAGCACAATCTTCTTCACAAAAATACATAAAAATGAAGTAATAATACAAACTCAAGCATTTTCAACCTGTCCACATTAATAAACGTGTTTCTCTGCTGTTTTTGTTACTGATTCTTTTCATTTCCTGTTCTGGTGACCACGCAAAGTGGTTGTAAACCTTTCCAGTGAAGCACAGACATCAACTGAAACCTGAAGATTTAGGGTTCCAATTTAAATCAAAACACACAGCTGTAATTATGTAAAGTTATTTCCATAAAAAGAGCTATGTTTTTCCTACCACAACATTGTTACATCAGTAGACGTTTGTCCTTTTTTCAGCATTTACAAATTCATTGTGCTAATGTAGTACTTACTTTCCCAAAGCAAAACACTCCAGTGTCACATTTTGTTCCTTCAGAGCATAAATATCTGAGAATCTAACTTGAATATCTGCGGCATAGCGTTTTGCGGCTATAATACAAAGACAGCAAATAAACATCTGACATCAACAATGAAATGCAGCCATTACATCTCCAAATCACCACTTATGCTAAATAATGTATTCATCTCTAGTAAAGATCATCTACTTTCATGCAAAAGCCTTTTTTGGGACTACTTTCTGAAAAGTACGGTTTTAGGTTAAGGGCAATATTATATATACATTAAATCCATCAGTGGTTCATATAGTGAACTCGGTGTAGAGCTATTCACCCTGAGGTCATCACAGAGGACAAGGGGGCACTCTTTACGTCTGGAGGAAAAGAAATTGAATCTCCAAACATGGAAAGGTTTCTTCACAGTGAGAGCTGTGAAAATGTGGAATAGACTCCCTCAAGAGTTGGTTCTGGCCAGCTCAGTGGATTGCTTCAAAAAAGATTTGGATTGTTTCTTAGATACACAGAATATAACTGGATACTAACATTTATAGGTAAAGTTGATCCAGGGAATATCCGATTGCCTCTCGGGGGATCAGGAAGGAATTTTTTTTCCCAGCAGGAGCAAATTGGATCATGCTTGCTGGGTTTCTTTGCCTTCCTCTGGATCAACTGTGGGTATAGGATTATAACTTTTTTTTTTCCTATGGTTGAACTGGATGGACTTTTGTCTTTTTTTCAGCCAGACTATGTAACAATATATATATATATATATATATATATACACATACATACACACAGGGCTTAAAATTTCAAGTCCTGAGATACTAGCCAGGCCTTAAGAGTTACTCGCCACCAACAAACACACACAAACAGAGACACCTGTACACACACGCAGACATGTACATACACACACAGAAACATGTACACACACACACATACAGACACAGGCATACACACACAGGCACGTCCAGACATGCATACACACAGATACATGTACATACACAGAAATACACATGCACAGACACATGTACATACAAACAGACACATGTACATATATACACAGACACATGTACATACATACATACATACACAGACACATGTACACACACACGTACAGACACAGGTATACACACACAGGCACGTTCAGACATGCATACACACAGATACATGTACATACACAGAAATACACACGCACAGACACATGTACATACAGACACATGTACATATATACACAGACACATGTACATACATACACAGACACAGGTATACACACACAGGCACGTCCAGGCACGCATACACACAGATACATGTACATACACATAAATACACACGCACAGACACATGTACATACAAACAGACACATGTACATACAAACAGACACATGTACATATATACACAGAGACATGTACATACATACACAGACACATGTACACACACACACACATACAGACACAGGTATACACACACAGGCACGCAGACATGCATACACACAGATACATGTACATACACAGAAATACACACGCACAGACACATGCACATACAGACACATGTACATATATACACAGACACATATACATACATATACAGACACATGTACAAAAGACACAGGTATACATACACAGGCACGTTCAGACATGCATACACACAGATACATGTACATACACAGAAATGCACACTCACAGACACATGTACATACATACACAGACACATGTACATACATACACAGACACATGTACACAGACACAGGTATACACACACAGGCACGTTCAGACATGCATACACACAGATACATGTACATACACAAAAATACACACGCACAGACACATGTACATACACACAGACACATGTACATATATACACAGACACATGCACATACATACACACAAACACACATACATGTACATGCACACACAAAGACACATGTACACGCACACATGTACATACACGCAGACACATGTACAGATACACACATGTACATACACACAGACACATGTACATGCATACACAGACACACACAAAAACACACATGTACACGCACACACCACCCCCCCATAAAAAGTTGCAGTACTTCGTTGTTCACTCACAGATCCGGGTACTGCACTCTAGGGGGGTGCAGAAAGCACAGCACACACTCCTTCCTTTGCTTTCACTGCGCTCAGCTATTGATCAATCTGACAGCTCCCAGTGCCAATGACAGATCCGGCCTGAGCTCCGAGCCTGCTCAGCAAGACGGACCTGGGGGACACACTTGCCCCCACCATAATTTCCACTACACACACACGCGCACACACCTATAGATATATATATATATACACACACTCACCGACCACTTTATTAGGTGCACCTGTTCAATTGCTTGGTAACACAAATTGCTAATCAGCCAATTACATGACAGCAACTACATTTTTTCAGGCATGTAGACATGGTGAAGATGACTTGCAGAAGTTCAAACCGAGCATCAGAATGGGGAAGAAAGGGGATTTAAGTGACTTTGAATGTGGCATGGTTGTTGGTGCCAGACGGGCTGGTCTGAGTATTTCAAACACTGCTGATCTACTGGGATTTTCACACACAACCATCTCTAGGGTCTACAGGAAAAGGTCCAAAAAATAGAAAATATCCAGTGAGCTGCAGTGTGGATGAAAATGCCTTGTTGATGTCAGAGGTCAGAGGAGAATGGGCAGACTGGTTGCTGCAACAATCAGAAGGTAGTGTCAGAATTTGGCGTAAACAATTTGAAAGCATGGATCCATCCTGCCTCGTATCAGTTCAGGCCGGTGGTGTAATGGTAATCGGCACTAGCAAGGTGTACGTATTTAATAAAGTGGCTGGTGAGGGTATGTGTGTGTATATGTATATATATATATATATTTTTTTTTTTTTTTTTTAAGGTGGCATACTGGTGTCAAAATGTCTTAGGGAGGCAACTCCATCCAAATATGTGAAACAATTCAGAATTCAGGAAGTAGAGTGTAGAACATATTTTAGAGGTAGAGTATTTAAGATATGCACAGCTGTGAATGAATGTATGTTCAGGATTACCATCAAAAGGCAAAAATTTCTCAGAGATGTAGGAACATGGGATATTGCAATATACATTCACAGTATTAATTCATACCAGCTGATATAAAACTATCGGGTTGAATTACTAAAAGCAAATAGACTGTTCATTTTCCAAGGGAAATTGAACTTTGCAAAGGAATTTGCCATAGATCGGTCTATTTACCCTACAGAATACAACCCCTTTGCATTTTGTAGTAATAGAATTATAAACTATACACTCAATATAGTGTCGGACAGGTACAATTACACACTGCTTTTTTGGAAAGTGCAGGGTGTATTCCTGCTGCAACAGTTTAGCATAGAAAATGAGCAAGCTTACTCTCCCCCAAGAGCTATCACTTTTCACAAACCTTGTATTGTTCATTTACTTAAGTCAAATAGGCTGTTCACTTGGCAACAAAAGTTGCATTTTGCAAGGGAATTATCCCCAAAGCTAAGTGAATGAAGCAAAGCTCTGCCGACTTCCATCAACCAATCATGTGCATTGTCATCCCATCACATGTGCTCCCAAAAGAGACCACAAGTGACCATGCCAACATACATTGCATAAGATAAGAATTTTCCACTAAGAAAGAACATGCAGCAGTAGCTGGAGTATATGCATTTATACCAGAAGTGGTCGTAAAGAAGCTGCAGCAGAACTTACCAATAGAAAGAATGAAAAAAAATGGTAAAAAGTGTTTTATTTAAAAAAAATGTTTATAATGCTCAATGCTTTAGCAAACCAATGTAATCCATGGCAACCATCTTATTTATCCTTTAGTTGCGTGAAATCCAAAAAATGTTAAATCTGGTTATCTTGCACAACTCCCCTTTCAATGTACCCACTGCACTATTGATTACCATATTAAATATGTCCTACGGTATCTAGCATTGACATTTGATTTGTACAATCAGTGCAAGTAAATATTTATACATCTGCAAATAATAATCCTAATGACAATGATATATCAGTTATATACTGCATGTTATAGGGAAATACTTACATTCTGCCTGGGGCAAAAGTGAAGTATATTTGCTAAAGACACTTTTTGTGATTGAAGGACTGGATACAAAACAGGAGTAATTTCCTTTGTCTGACTGTTCTACTTTTGCTATATACAAATTTCCATTTGCCTGGGTAACAAATCTGCGTTTATCCACATTAATAAAATTTGGAAATTCATTTAGGATCCATCTGTAATTAAGGTCATCTGCGTAAGAAGGAGAGAAATAAAAGTCTGTTAAATGACAGTTTGAAATACTTTGATACGGTAAAATTGTCTGTTTTATAAGGTAAAAGAGCTGTTTGCCTTGATGATTTAAAATTTGATAAATAGAGCATTCAATGCAAAAATAGGGAAAATTGTATTCCATACTTACCGTAATCTTCCTTTCCTGGATCCTCCCAATGTCAGCCTACCACAGGTCAGCTCTGCCCTTTCTGACCCCTCCAGTACAACCTCTTTCCCAGGCCATAAGAGCGGCTGTCTCCCCTCACTCAGTGTTCAACATATCACTCTTCACAATGGAGACTGGGGGGAATCTCTGGCTGACATGAGGAGGATACAGGAAAGGAAAATTACGGTAAGTATGGAATACAATATTCCCTATTCCTGGACTTCCCCATTTCAACCTACCATGGGATGTACCAAGCAATGCTAAAAGGAACAAAGGGAGGAGAAAAAACAAGACATAAACTGAATGCTGCATATAAATTTCTATTACTGACAGCCGCTGCAATGACTGTAGATCCAAAAATAACTGCACCGATGGAAAAGCCATACTCATTCTGTGGTGACAAATAAATGCATTTGCCGTTCTCCAGCTTGCTGCCCTGAAAACCACCTTTGCTGACACTTTAGCGTATGCTGCCAATGAGATTGGGATGCTTCTCATTGAATTAGCTCTCACTTCCAAAGGTGGCGGCAAGCCTAGGACTTTGTAGGCAATCTGAATGCTCTTGACAATCCAGGAAGACATGACCTTGGGTAGAACCGTGAAGCCCTTCCTTGGACCTTGATGGAAGATATAAACACTATCTTGTTCACGGATGTCCTCTGTGCATTTCAGATATACTGAAAGTGAATGAACCAGATGTAACTTCTTCCACTCATCCTCTGACCCATCTTCCAGAAAAGGTGAAAGTACGGACTCCCAACTTGTATGGAATGAAGTTGAAACTTTTTAGAAGAAATTTGGGACTTGTCTCAGAATTACCCTGTCTTGGAGGATCCATCAGTATGGCTCTCTAGCTAAAAAAGGCATACATGTCAGATACTCTCCTTTTGGTAGCAATTGCCATTAGGAAATATGTCCTTGGAGCAACATGGAATAAAAAAAAAACAAAATTATCGGGTAAAATGGTGGTGCCAGCAAGGCATTCAAGCCAAGTGGCAAATTCTCCCTAGTGTTCTAATTTTCATTGCTGTCTTCAGAAAGTGAATGACCAAAGGGTTAAAGGCCCATCTTTTACTTGCCATGGCCAAGAGGACTGAAACTTGAATTTGCAACTAATTATAAGCCAGGCTGCTTTTAAACTGTTTTGCAGGAATTTAAGAACATTAGATACCGAGGAAGTTTAAGCATTCCAATTTTTGCCAGAAGAGAGCCCCAAAAAAGGCTTTTCTATACCCGATGGAAGGTCGAAATAGTTTACTTTTTCCTAGCTTGCAACAAGGTGTCAACTATGCCTTTTCACAGCTCCAGATGTCTTAGAGACCACCTCTCAACTTCCAAGTCATTAATTTCAGTCTTGTGGGGTTCAGATGCAACAACCTGTTCTGAACCAGGAAATACAAACAAACAAACTGTGAGTGGAATTGGTTGTTCAAGCCTTATCCTCTATTTCTTGGGAAACCAAGGCTGGCTTGGCCAAAAGAGCAGGGCTATTATTGCCCCCACAAACCTCCACGGACTGGAAAAGGCATCCTGGCCCAATGCTTGAAGTTCATTAATGACACCATCAGACCCATGTCTGGTGTTGCCCAGGCTTTTTCCGCAACAATTTCAAAGTGATCGAATTCTCTGTGATCTACGAAACTCTGACTCTGGTCCGCCAGAATATTCTCCATTCCTGGGAGGTATGAAGTAAAGATAATTTCCTTCCACTCAAATGAAGATTTGTCAGGCTACTCTCAGAAGAGGCAAGCTTCTGGTGCCCCCTTGACAGGCCAAGTAAGCCACTGTAGTCCGATTATCTGCAAGCACCTTCACCACGTTTCCACGTAACAGATACTGGAATGCTAGCAGAGTGAATCGGGAAGCTTCTAACTCTAGCAGATAGGAACTCTGCATTGTCCACCTCTTTCAATGACCTTGAACCTGGTGACCAAAGCTGTGGGCTCCCCCAACCCACCAGCCTGGTTCTGGAGGCTTGAGAGGAACACTGCCCTTCCAATTGCGCAAAAACGTCCACCAGGTTAATAAACGGGCTACTGGACCTGGTATGAGGATCAATATATGATGATCTCACTGGTGAAGGAAACAGAATTGAAACTTCCTTTTTCTGCATCTGACCCAAGGAACAACTGGGATGGTGGATAACAGAAGGCCTGGGTACTGCATGCACTCTCTTGCCAATAAGAAAGGCCTGCCCATTACTTCCCTCAACCGAGTCTGGATTTTTTTTTACTTTTTACTGGGGATATATAGAAGGACCTGCGTTGGTTGCAGTTGACTCTTTTGATGTTTGATTATCCAAAGCATTTGAGTGTGTTACAGGTTAGAGACACGTGATCCATCAGAAGAGTCCTCAACAAGGTCAACAGAAGGATGTCATCGAGGTAATGAAATATCTGAAAACCCCTGAGTCTCAGAAAAACTATGAAGGCTGACAGCAGTCTTGTGAAGGTTCTGGGAGCGGTGCAAAGCCCGAATGGCAAACAACGAACTAGAAAAGTGACCCTTGTATGCAAACCTGAGAAAGCGATAATGAGCCCGAACTATGGGGGCATGAAGATAGGTGCCTGCCAAATCCATTGAGGCCATCTAGTCCCTGACTTTTACTACTGAAATGATGGTCTCCAAGGAATCGATCTTGAAAGGAATTGAAGACGCCTGAGGAATTGAGCACCAGAACCAAACAGGAATACATGCCTTTGCCCCATTCTTGTCTTGGTACAGGAAAAATAGCTTAAGCTGTTAACAATTCTTTTTTATATGTGTACAAACAATTCAGTTTGTCTGGACACATTGGTAGCCGAATTCCCCCGAAGTAATACTGAGGGGCCTTTTTGCAAATTCTAAGAGATATCCACTTCGGATGATATCCAGAATTCAAGCATCCTCTACTTCTCCCACCCAGACCTCCCTGAACAGAGCAAATTTTGCTTGTCTGAAGACTTAACTGGCTGGCTTGATTTGGACTTGACTCCCTTGGGAAATGCTGCACTGACATTCTTCCAATGTCTGAAAAGGCCCACCAGGCCTGTATGCACTGGCTTCTTTGAAATGATTCTTAACTCTTCTAAAAGAGCGAAAGAACTGACGGTACTATCTCTTCTCCTGTAGGATAAGACCTGACTTCCCACCGCAAACCTGCTGAATGGCAGCTTTAAAGGTCTTGCCAAAAAGGAGCTTCCCATCCAATAGAATCAATGCTTTAGCCATAAGGTTCTTTTGGTGTTACTGTGTGAGCCATTAACTTTGCTGTCATTCTGACTTGATCCACTGCCGCTTCAGCAATGAAGTCCACAGCCATCCTGAAAAATTGCACTTCTCCTGAACCCAGGACTCCATTTCTGCCACCCAAACTCTGAGGGCCATAGGGGATAGTCCTGTCACAGTGTACACCCTGCTCAGATCTGTATCAATATTGCTGTCCATTGGATCCCTAAAAGACACCGAACTTTCAAGTGGAAGCATTATGTGGCTGGTCAATCTCTGTAAAGAGGTGGCTACTTTGGGAACTATATTCCATAATTTGCCATCCCTTTTACATGAGGTGATTGTAGCCGTATTAGTGCACTTGCGACAGAAACAACTGAGTACTTCCTTCCATCCCTTTTATAAAAAGGGTATAACTTTGAAACTCTGTTATGGACATTTAATCTTTTGCTATTTTTTTGCCCATTTATCCTTAACTTCCCTGGCGGTATGATTATTTCAGATTTTTGGTGCTGAAAGCGGTACCATTTTTTTGCATGGAAATATGTATTTTTTTTATTGTAGGCTGTAATTTTTAGGAAAAACTCACTGAAATCTGTCCGAACAAGAGTCTAGTAAACATCCCGGGTATGATAAAATTTGAAACACAAAATCATAAATTATAATTTAATAAATAATCATAAAAATAATATAAAAATAATAAAAAAATTTAATTCAATAATATAATCAAACCAAAAACACTGAAATGTGAAATAGAGCGCCAAGTTCGCACATTGCTGAGCTCAGTCGCAAAATCGTTTTCAGTTTCTGATGACGAATTTCCCCCACGAATCATTATCACTCAATTCTGTAAGTGGTTCTGATTTACTATCGCTGTTCTCTAGCTGATCTAAACCGCTTTTGACCTAAAGGGACACTTTTTGGACGCCATGGACATTTCTCAGTTTCCAGGCAGAAAGAACAGACAAAATGCAGGCAGGGCGCAGGACAAAGCACTAGGGACAATATGTATGTGAAATAGGTTGAAACAGCAATGTTTTACTGTGTAAAATGAAAAAAAAAAAAAAAAAAATGACATTTTTTAAAATTTTTAAATTTCCCGCCGCCGGCGGCGCCCGTACGTCCCGACGTCACAGGGACAGGACACAGAAGCCGGATGCCGGCATCGGCCGGAGGAGATGGCCGGGGACGCTGCAGGGGACACATGTGGGAGCGCAGGGTAAGGTAAGTGAAGAACACATGCCGGAGCAACGCCGCATGGTATTCCCGAGTGTAGCTCGGGGTTACCGCTTTTGGTACTGAAATGTTACCCCGAGCTACACTCGGGAATACCGCCAAGGAGGTTAATGGGCTCTTTGATTTCAAATATCAAAGGAAAGAAGGAACTGTCTTTTTTTTCAATCTGGGTAGTATTTTTTTGAGTGGAGTACTCTTTTTTGCTGCGTCACTAATGTACAATTATACTTGCTGTGCGTCTGCAGCTTTGTCACGTGCCCCCTACCTAAGATAGGATGTGCACACCAATTTGCCCAGCAATGCTTCAGCTGAACAGCCCCAACAAGCCACCACTTCAGGGTGGGTTGGAGAAGAGGCCCTGGAAGAGGTA